CTGCTCCGTATAAAACATTTTCCCTTAATGGTAGTAAAACATTAAATGGAAGACCATTACAAAACGGTTATAAATAGCAGCGCGGCTCAACGGAACCCGGCCTGCGGATCATAGCCAGCTCTGAAATACAATAAAAACGTTTGGCAACTTTTTATTGGCCATAAAACGTTCTTGTAATTTTTTTTTAGTTACATAATAAAAAATAATTTTTTTTATTTTTTGTTTTATTTTATTAATATGTCATGTTATTCAAATTTAAAATTTTTTTATTTTAATAAAAAGATATTATTACTAAATTATTTAAATTATTAATAACGTTCTTATAATTGAACAAATTAAATTTAGACTGAGGTAAAAAATAAGTGTATTAAGCTAAAATATGACTTAAAAAGAATAAATGTTTATAATGCTTGATATCCCTTGAATAATAATAATAAAATCACTAACAATTATTTGGTCCTTTTTCTTACAAGACCATTATTGACTTTTTTGTTTTTGATTTATTAAAATAAGTGATTTAACCATATAAAGAAACAAAAAAGAATGAGAAGCAAAGATTTAAATTCTTATAATGGGAGTGTGAAAGGTGGATATACTAATAATAAAATCACTTTAATTACAATTTTCTACCATTTACCTTTTTGTTAATCTCACTTTTATATTTGTGGTATTTCATAATCTATAAATCTTAATTAGGTACATGTACCAAAAATTTTCAAAATCTTAATTTAATATTAGGAATCAACATTAAAATTTTTGAAATTACAAAACAATTAATTTTAAAATAAAAAATTTTAAGATAGTTGTCTAATAAATTTAAACTTTATGTTTAGGATTTAAATTTGAGAGTCGCAATTAGATAAATTTAATTTTTTAAAATAAAATAAATAAATTTTTTAAATTACCTTAAAATATCTTAAAACTAACTTGAACTTTCTTATCACTCAAAAAAGAAAAAAAGAACATGTTCAAAAAAAGAAAAAAGAAAAAAAGAACAAAAAAACAAAATTTAAACTAAAACCTATAAAAAGTGAAGGAGAAATGAAAATTATTCAAATACAATTTATAACTTTAATTGCTATTTAATAGCTAATTCATTTTACTTAATTGAGATATATTATAAATATTTATTTATTTAATAATATAAAAAGCTTATATAAAGGATGAATAAAAAAGATTATTTTTGGTCACATTAACGAAAAGGAAAAAGGTTGTTGGTCAAAGTGAGGTAAAATAATAAAAAAAAGAACAAAATCAATTTTTAGTAAATTATTGTGAAAAAAAATCTACTGTATATATTCTTCCAGTCCGAATAAGAAAGAGAAAGACAAGACCGGTGCCATCGTCACCGGATCTTTTTTGCCTTAAAAAACTACTGTCTGCCCAAAGCGTGAAAAGCTTACTTCTTTCTTCTTCTTCTTCTTCATCTTCCCCTCATAATTCCTTCATTCATTCCATCTCTCTTCCTTTCCTTTCCAAATCCAAAAAAAGCAAAAGTTGGAGAGAGAAATTAATACACACTACTGCAATAATTCACTCTTCTTTTTATTGCCAGCTCTGCTTTGCTCTCTCCTCTTCCTCTCTTTCAATACTTCCATCATCACTGCCACCCACACCTCACAAACACCTACTTGGTTCTCCCTCAGGTACCCTCTTCTTCTTTCTTCATCTTCTGTATTGGGTTTTCTCTGTTTCGATTATTATGATCGGTTCCTTGCCATGCTCGATTGTTGCTGTTAATCTGGATCTTATTGTTTCTCTTGTTCTTTCATTTGGTTTTTGATCTTGGTGTACGTGATCTTTTCTTAATTTTGATGGGTTCTGTTTGTTTTTTTGATATGCATGTTTGATGTTGATGGCAGTTCTCTGGATTATTCTCTTTTGGTCGTTAAACTCGATGATTTGTTTGTTTCCTGGTCTTAGTTGTTATAATCTGTCTGTTTATATGGAATAGCCACGGATAGTGACTTGATCTGTTACCTCTTATGATATCATGAATGATTTTTAAGGGTTTAATTCCCCGTTCTGGGGGAAGGAGGTTTGATCCCATGGCGGTTGATGGTGATCAATGCCATTTTGATTGCTGTGGCTGCCATTGGTGATAGAAAAATTGGATTCAATTCAACAGTGCAATGATTTCCCGTGGTGCTCTAGATGAGCTGGTTTTTGTGATGTCATAATGTGATGAATGCTGATTGATAATCTTCTCTTAAGAGTTTCAATAATTGGATGCAAATTGTTGCAATTTTGGCAAATGTGGCATAAGTGGTTCTTCTGATAGATTAGCAATCAAGTGCTGGATGATTGATTGGAAAAATATTTAAGCTGGAAGGCTAGCTGAAGTTTGCAGAAGCTTTTATGTTGTTACCATAGACAAAGAATCGATTGGATATCCTTCATCACTTGTGTTCCATTTATGTCTTGGGGTTCTGCAGTGCAAGGTGTACATATTCAACTTATCATTTGCGTTTTCTTCAAGCCAAAACTGGATCAATTTATCAAATAAACCAGCAGTTGTTAGGCTGTCATATATTGTTGCAGGTCTTCAGGAGGGTAGAATTCCAAAACTAAATTAAAATAGCTTAGATTATTTCAAACATTTTAATGCAAACAAGTTTCTCTGACTTTTATAGCACCTGGGTAGTCTGGCTTTGGAGTAGAGAAGATTAAATTCTTAGAGAAATGAGGACATTTTCAAGAATGGGATCTTAGAATTTCCTTAAAATTTAAATCAAGTCACAAGCATTCTTATCAAGGAAAAATTTTATCTGGTAACTAGGTTCCTGTCTGTAAGTATTGTATAAGAAGTTGAGTTTTCTCACTATCAAAAGAATAAATTTAAGTTTTGTGAAGGACTTGGGCTTCAAGCTCATCTTGAAAGAAATTTGTCCTCTTGGGGCCACCACAATTGTCAAGGTTACATGCAACATTTGCATTTTAAAGCAATACAGGCAAGTGAGTTGTCTGCAAACAGAAACTGGTTGATTTCAAACCTAATTGTGTGCTACCTCTGAAGGGTGAAGAGAATGAAGCAGTTGACATGCATGCTAGTTGTCCTATTGAATATCTCATTCACAGGAAACTAATCACATGCAAGTGACTGATGCATGTATAAAGATATATGTTCTCAACCTTGTTGCATGGATGGAGGTATCAGGTTCAGGTGTCTGACATGTATTCATTAAATCTTTCATAATTTAGAGGGTTCCAGATTCATATCCACTTCAATGTCTAATAAGTGTCAGTTTCAAGAATGTGAGGGCAAAGAATCAATGGATCCTTGATGGACATCTTAGTTTTAGTCTGAGACACTTCTGCTCTTGAAGTTGAACTACTGCATAGGCGAAATTGTTTCTTTAGAAAAATATAAATTAATAGAGAAAAAAAAAAAGAAATTGTATATTGCATTTAGATTTATGAAACCTAGGAAAGGATATCTAGAGATTCTAAATATGATGGAGATTTTAGGGGCAGTTTTAAATTATTGATTTTTTTATTCTCTCTTTGTGATATGCAGCTGCTATAGAAAGTAAATCTGATTTGTGTTTTGGCCTAATTGTCAGTCTTGTATTTTTATTTTATTATATTTTCTATTTCTTGTCTTGTGTTTAGCTTCCTCCCCCGTTGAGATTTAGAAGTAATTTTGTAGCCAATTGATGGTTACTGAAGTTAGGTAACGTTTTTTAAGTACATCACGTTTTTATTTTTATTTTTGCAATAACATTTGACTAAAGTACAAAACAGTGTTCTTAACTGGCTGCTTCCATTTTGCTTTTTCTTGCAATATTCATTTTTCCCTAATCAAACTTATTTTCTTCAGTGCAGTATTGTGCAACTTCCATATAGCTGAGGGTTGGAGTTTTTAATCCAAAGCTATTCTATTTTTCCTTAAGAACAGTGATAAAGAAGAATTTCAGAAAATGTCTAGCTCTGCAAAAGCTCTGGATCCTGCCTTTCAGGGAGTTGGTCAGAAAGTGTATCCTTTATTTGATAAAATTATGATAGTGTGAATATTATGATCTTATTGTTTTAACATTTTCCTTTTCTTAAGAGAAGATCAATGATTGGTATAGTTTTATTCAGTTACACTGGAATTTACTTTATCCTTGGATATGTGCTTGTATTTTTGTATGTTGTTTTGGTAATTTTCACTTTAAGGTGTTAAACTTAACAACTTGTTAGAGGCACTGAAATCTGGCGAATTGAGAATTTCCTGCCTGTTCCGGTGCCCAAGTCGGACTATGGAAAATTCTACTCAGGAGATAGTTACATTGTATTGCAGGTGTGAAAGACTCTTCATCACTGCCCTTTCTCTGCTCAGTTGTTTTCTCATATGTATTTTTATTTGAAAAAAAAATAAAATTGAATTTTCTATGGTTAGCATTTCATAATTGTTATCCTTAAACATAAATACTTACAAAAAAAAAAAAAAAAATATATTAATGGAAAATATAACTGTTTTGTTCACCTATATCTATGAGTCTTATTTTCTTGATTTAGCTTATTAGAGTTTTAGATCCATCAGAGTTAA